CCCAGTGGAGGGCTCAGAGCCTAATGCATGCGCTGGCATCTCAAACACATGAACTTTGGCTCTAGAGCTCTGCTTATTCTCAACTCCGCCCCCCCCCCCCCACAGCTGCCCCTGCCGGGAACCAGCCTTCAACCTCTGGCATTTGGGGGAAAGTTAACATGACAGAGAACTCTCTCACTGGTATGGGCAGTGGGGTGGAGGAAGGAGGAATCAGAGAAGGGTCTTTTCTAACATCGGGAAGAGGCCTGGGGCTTGTAACATATCTGCACTCCCCTGGCTTACATGGTATTTCTGTGGGGGCCGCTTCCTTCAATGAGACAGTGTTAGCAGAGAAAACAGAAAGTTGGACCTGAAGTCAGGAACACCTGGGTTCCAATCTCCCTACAGATACTTAATACCTTAGTGTTCCTGGTCTCTTTAATTCCCTGGGCCTCAGTTTTCTCATCTGCAAAACAAGGGAGTTTGGCTTGATGATAGCTACAGTTTCTTTTGGCTCCAAAATCTATGATATGATGATACAAGGAACAACCCACACCCTGTAGTCAAAGCCTCAACCAGCTGGAAGCTAAAGGACCCTCATAGCAACTTTCAACTTAAAGTCCAAAGGGTGGCCAACCCACCTTTTTTTTTTTTTTACTGATGAGGAAACTGAGGCACTGAGAGGTTCAACAACCTGCCCCAGGTCACCCAGATAGAAAGTGGCAGAGCTGGAATTGGAACCCAGGTGCTCACCTCCATATTCAGCATTTCTTCACTAGGCCACACAAATACTAGAATTAAGAGCCTGGAGACCCAAAGAGGAACTGCACTTTTGAGTTCAGGAACTAAAGGAAGCCAGGCAGTATGTAAGCTAAGAGGAAATCAGGCCAACAGGAGTAAAGAAACCAGGTATTCGACTTAAAGAAGAAGAAAAAAAAAAAACAACACCTGATAGGTGGCCAGTGTCTATCACAGAGTAGGTGCTTAAAAATTGATTACTGACTGACTGGCATGTAGCAGGGAGCATACTATAGCAGAAAGAACAATGGAGTCAGGAGATCTGGCCTTTCACTCTCTCCTGTCACTAATAATAATGACAATGATGATGATTCCTCATACTCCTTACAAAAATTCCAAACACCTTACAAAGTGTTTTCTTCATCCACAACACCCCATCTCCTGTCTTTGCACTGGCTGTTTCCCATGTCTGGAGTGCCCTCCCTCCTAATCATTGCCTCTTGGAATTCCTAGTTCTTCAAGGCTCAATTCAAGTGACACCTTATGAATGAGGGCTTTTAGGATGTCCCCAGATGCTAGTGCCCTCCTCCCACTCCTAAATTACTCTGTGTAATTGTGTGTGCATGTATACATACCCCCACCTAGACAGACAGATGAATAAATAGATAGATGGATAGATGGATGGATTAATAGATAGAGATAGATGGATAGATAGATGGATAAATGGATGGATGGATGGATGGATGGATGGATAGATGAATAAATAGATGGATGGATGGATGGATGGATAGATATATAGATAGACAGACAGACAGATAGATGGATAGACAGATGGATGAATGGATGGATAGACGGATAGACAGACAGACAGATAGATGAATAGAAAGATGGATAGATGGGTATGTACATGGTAGATGGAAAGAGAGAAACATAAAGAGGAGGGAAGAAGGGGAAAAGGAAAAAAGGGAGGAAGGGACAGACAGAGACAGAGAGACAGAGAGATGTCTCTACCAATGTTTCAAGGAGTTAAAATGTTTAAGGACCAAAACAGTTTCGTATTTGTTGTGCATGTAGCACAATGCCTGGTATGTAGTAGTCACTTAACAACTCCTTGATGATTGATTGATACCTCACAGCAAGCTTGAGAAGTAAGTGATGCAAATGTTCTTCTTCTCATTTTGTAGATGAAGAAAATCAAGTTGAGGAATGGAAATGGTTTACCCAGAGCTACATGGTTAGTTAGTATCAAATCCAGAATTCAAACCCGTCTCCAAGACTAGTGCTTCTTCCACAATCCCCAGCTGTGCCCCAGCCAAATGACTTTTCTGTTCAGTATCCTATTCTGTAAAATAAGGCTGAGCTAGTCAGGGATTCTTGATCTAAAATCTGTTAACTTGTTTGTTCTTTCTACTATTTTAATAATTGTATTTCAATAAAATGGATTTCCTTTGCAATTCTATGTATTTTATTCTATAAATTGAAAAACTATTATTCTGAGAAGGGGTCCATAGGCTTCACCGGACTGCCAAGTGAACAGTTCCATGACACAAAACAGGTTAAGAACCCTTGGCCAGGTGATCTCTAAAGGTCTCTTCTATCTGTAAAAATTACCTGAAATGAACCGAATAGTGGGCCCCAAAGAAACCAGGTCATGGGCCTAGAGGATATTGAATGAATTCACCTCTGCCCTGGGTCTCATGCTTAGCTTTTCCTGGGCCCATGAAGGTATCTGCTACAGGCCTATCTTCTCTCTTCCTTCTCTGAGACAAGCGAGGGTCAGGAGCTAGGGCAGAGGGCCTGGGCAAAGCGATCTGAACAGGCAGAGCACACTCAGCAGACTGGGGAGAATGTTGGTGGGAGCTGGTGAGTGGGCATTTGCCTTTTTGTCTCTGCCTCCTAGGAGAACAACAATGATGTCACACAAGCAGGGCTAGGCATCAGAACCAAGGTGTCAGTGGAGCTTGTCCCTGCCTGCTTGGCAGAGCTTCTTGGCCCGGGTGCCTTGTGCCAGTGTAAAACCTCACTGCCCCGGCATCTTGTGCCCACTCGAAACCCCATCTGAAGACAGAGCTGTTGTCAAGTGCTGGGACTGAAGCCCTGGGATCGGAAACCCTTGCACAGTATCACGTCGCTGGAAACTCACCACCCAGAAATCCCACTCTTACCTTCAAAGGACTCAGTTACCACCTTCTCCTCATCTTCCTCTGAGGGAGGAAGAAAGAAGGAGAAAGGATGGGGGAGAGAAGCAGGTAAAAGAAGAGAAGAAAGAGAGATACACATTAATATAGTTAGCAACTATATCATAACAGTGAGACAGGAGGGAATTAGTCAGAAAAATGTCAGAAAAGGAAGGCTAGAGCTATGTTGGAGCTGGGTTCTCCACCAACATTAGGGTTCCTCCATGTATCCCTAGTTAGTCCCCATGGGGAGAAAGCTGCATCCTTCCTCTGACACACCCCCAAAGCGGCCCCCTGGATTTGGTATTTGAGCAAAGTCACTGTAGGCTAGCACAGAGCTTTCCCTATTCAGCTGTTGAATTTTTTGGTAAAACATCATAATACAGCCATGGTACATAGGGGCATGCCCATGATGTAAGTACTACACATGTCCCAAAGGTATTCACCTACCACCACACACCACCCCCATCCCTACTGGGCTGGGTGTTCTTCCTAAGACCAAAGGGGAAAAACAAACAACCTCACCCAAATCCTAGAAATGGGAAACGAGTTTGGGGAGTGACTTTCTGGACAGAACCTTTATAGCACATCTGTTTGCCAGAGTATAGGGCCCCAAGGCTCTATGATGCTAGACTCCCTCCCCAGGTAGTGGGAAAGAGTTTCAGAAGGTGATGGGAAAATTTTTAAGGAAAAATTGTGAGACCAAAGTCTGTTTAGAAAAGGAAATGCCCTCCCTCTCTCCTTCTTGGAGGGGAAGAGTCCCTTTCAGGTGGGAATCCCAAAAGGGATTACTCTGAGATTTATACTTCAACATATCTGATTCTATAAAGCCAGGGACATAGGCTAGATTAGGGTTTGCCCTCTCCAGGGACTCTTCCTCACTGCTGAAGGACAAGGTCTTTGATCCAAGCCAGAAACAGGCCAGGGAATACCTTAACTGTCATGCCTCCCTTCTTCCCCAGATCACCATCCCTCAGAGGGAAGGGGAAAGTCCAGACAGAGGATCAGCCCAGGAAGGAGCAAAAGTACATGTAAAAATGGGGAAATGGGCCCAACACCCTGTAGAAAAGGGAAAAGACAGAGGGTGATGGAGTTAATCAACAGCAGGTCATCTATTGGATTCAGCTTCTTTGGCTCTCCCTCCTTTTGGAAGGGGTGGAATAAGAATGTGGGAGTGCCCACAGTTCTCTGCAGGAGTCAGATCAAGCCAAGAGGGCTGTTCTGGGCTCTGCATTACATGAGAGACATTGACAAAGCTAAATTGTGTCTTTATGAGGGTGCCCAGAATTGTGGAAATCATACCAGGAAAAGTTTGAGAAAAGGGGGATGTTGGGCCCGGACAAAAAAAAAAAAGATACTCAACAGAGAAAAGATTCATCTTCAAATATCTGGAGGTTGTCCTATAGAATAGGGATTTACTTTGTTCTGCCAAATGGGAGTGGGCAAGGGAGGTGAATGGTATATGTAATAGGGAAGTAAATTTGAGCTTTGCTGAAGAAAGGATCTTTGAATGAAAGTTACCTAGGCTTCCTGACACCAGCAGTCTTCAAGCAGGGGTCTGTCATAGCAGGGATGTTGGGAAAGGGACTGTAGCATAGGGTGGGGGTTGAGCTGTGTGACTTCAAAAGTGCCTTTCAACCCTAAAATCCTAGGATTCTACGGATGATGATCATTAGTCAGGAGGCACATACACTTTGGTGTTCATCCTAAACCCCCAGGAAGCATGAATGTCAGAAGAGCTGGCATGTGGGAACCTTAGATTCTTCCCTTCTAGGACAGGGGTGCTGAACTTTGGGTCTATGAGCTCACTTTTTTAATATATTTATTTAGATAACTGGTTTCCTTTGTAATGCTATGTATTTTGTTCTGTGCATTGAAAAACATTCTGAGAAGAGGTCCATGATGGCTTCACCAGACCGCCATCACACAAAACAAAGCACCGCTCTAGACATTCTCAGGTTGGTTCCTAAGGCCCCAACCACCCACCCCAAACCACCTCGACCTCAGGTGCTCGGACAACTAGTTTCTCCCAATCCTGTCTACGTCCGTAGCTACCACTGGGCTACCCGCCACACACCATAGCCCACGGCACTCAGCCTCACTCACCTCCTGTGGGGTGGAGCAGAATGTCCGCTGGATTGTGGGGTTTCAGTCCTAGGGCGGACAGGGGTGTCTTGGCAAGCCCTGGAGGAGAGCGCACTGTACCAAAGGGAAAGAGATAAGAAGTTAGAATGGGGCAGGGATTGGAGATTCAGTGGGGAAAAACAGAATGAGTCCAGATTGTGGCTTTGGAGACTGCACAGATGGATGGACGTTGGAGGGGGGAACATCTAATTGCTCCTGAAATCAGCCTCCCTTAGGGAATTACAGCCCTCAGCAGACAGGTTATCCCCCTCTAACCAGGTCCTGTTTTGTCTCTCTGTGTGCCTCTACTTCTGCTACCCTGCCTTTCCATCACTGTCTGTCTTGGTATAGTGGAAAAAGCAGACTGGGGATCAAAGAGGCCAAGGTTCTAATCCCAGCTCCGCTCCTTTCTATCTATGCAACCTTGAATCACTCAACCTCTCTGTTTCCTTATTTTTAAATGACTATAATACCACCTGAACCGCCTTCCTCACAGGCTGGACAGGACGAGTACGTGGCATAACGTATATGAAAACCCCCAGTAAACTGTAAGAGAAGATATAATTATGATGTCCATAGGACAACGCCCTTCCAGGCACTTATGATAACGCTCCAGCCAAAATGGACTGTTCCCTGTACACATCCTATCTCCATACTTTTTCTCAAGCCAGCCCTTAGCCTGGAATGGCCTCTACCCCTCTCTGCCTTTTGAATTCCTACCCAACCTTTAAACCTCAGCTCATGAGCCACCTCTTCTAGGTAGACTTCCCTGATTTCTCTCCTCCCTCACCCCCTTTTAGTAATGAACTCCTACTGTCAGACTTCATTCACCTCATCTCTTATGCATTTATCAAATTCTAATTTTTACCTCAGATATATGTGTACATGCCTCTACCAGACTGTAACTTCCATGAAGCCAAAGTCCACATCCTCTAAATTCTATATTTCTCCCATTACCTAACACGCTCCTCTAAACAACTCCAGGGCTTGTTTAGTAAATGTTCACTGAATGCAATCCCAATCTTCTCCCTTTATTTCTGCATTTCACTCACTGTAGCGCTTTGCGTCTCTCCTCTCGAAAGGGTCTGGGCAGTAACCCCATAGAGGAGAACAAGAGAAAGGGAGATGGGGAGAAATACTCCTGCAATGGTATCTGAAGAGCTGGAAAGGATGGGGCCAGACTAAGGACAAGCGGGCACCAAGGACCCGAATCACCTCATTCCTCAAATCTCAGGCCTGGCTTTCTTGATACAGAGTATCCCAAAAATTTAGTGCAATTTTAAGTGTTAAGAACTACAAAAAATATCACTGCTACAAGCTTATAAAAATATCATTTGAAAGCTCAGTTATACAAATTTATCTTACACTTATTTGGTTTTGTAAATTCTGAATAATAGTTTTTTTTTCCTTTTTAATTTTAAAAAGATGGAGCACCCTGTCCTTACGCATGGTACATGCAACAATTTCTGGAGGAAATTTTCTGAGACTGGGTGGATCGAGTAGAGGAGGTTGCCTTGCTTAATCACTGTAGTCATGATCTATCTCCAACAGAATTTTTTAATGGGGGTGGGTCACATCAAAACTGTCTTATTTGCATTAAAACCTCATTCTTTGGATGATCTTAAGGCTAGGATTACCTTTTAGTGATTGAGCAGCAGCTGATGAAAGTTTTCACAAATTTCAGAAATGAACTAGCGCCACATATAGCACAAGAAGGAGCTAGGTGGCTCAGTGGTTAGAGCACTAGGCCTGGAGTCAGGAAGACCCAAATTCAAATCTGGCCTCAGATACTTAGTAGCTGTGTGACCCTGGGCAAGTCACTTAACCTCTGTTCGCCTTAATCCACTGGAGAAATGAGAAACCTCTCCAGTATCTTTGCCAAGAAAACCTCATGGACAGCATTGGAGTGCTATGGTCTATGGGGTCATGAAGTGTTAGACATGACTGAACAACATGTGTAGTACAACATAGTAGTTATGTTGAATTTTAGTAAGAGCCATATCAATATCTTAAAGTTTTAAATAGGGGCAGCGAGGTGACACAGTGAATAGAGCACCGGACCTGGAGTCAAGAGGACTTGAGTTCAAAACTGGCCTCAGACCAGACACTTGACGCTTACTAGCTGTGTGACCCTGGGCAAGTCACTTAACCCCAATTGCCTCACCAAAAAAAAAAAAGTTTTAAATAATTGACCTTTACAATGATGCTTCTTAAAAGTATTTATACTTCTGAAATATGCTTCTTAAATCATTTAATTAATTAAAACTTAAAAAAAATTTTAAACTTGCATTCTTTGTCCCCCTTCTACACGATGAACCAGGTTTTTCTGCCCAAGATGGGAAGGAAGCTCTTCCTTTCCTGTTGTTTATACTTGAGGAACAGCATAAAGAGTTCAGATTCTAGATTCAGATTCAGATTCAGAAAACCTGGATTCAAATCTCAGCTCTGCCATTTACTCCCTGTGTGACCTTGGGCAGGACAATTAAACACTCTGGTACTGCCTCAGATCTCTCATCTATAAAATTAAGGGAATGGATAGGAGGACCAGCTCTAAATCTATGACCAATGACCCTTAGTAGAGGGTTGTCTGGTAGCTCTGGCCAAAAACGGCTATGCCCAAGGTAGAAGAGGCTCCAGGGTAGGGTGGGCTTCCCAAGGCAGGCGCTCTGGATAGGCTAAAGACCCCCATAACTAGAAGAGTAAACCCTCCTCTCTAATGTTGTGCCTGGAACACTGGTTTAAGGACAAAAAACCTTCATCTCAGACCAAGCCAAAATTCAGCTTAGAGGTTTCATGTAACACTCGAGGTCAAAAAAGGCTTTTAGCTCTGGCCTCAGCCAAAGATGTGGCTAGACTCTAAGCAAATTTGAAAGGTGGTTATTAAAGACAGTCCCAGGAAGGTTTCTGAAGTTGAGGTGGGGGGACATTTCCCAGCACACCTCTGACGGAAGGTTAAAACAAAAAAATGAGCTTTGTTTCTCCTACCAGGGTTATCAAGAGCTTGGCAAAGTTGCAGTGACCTAAAGACACAAGTACTGAGGACAATTAACTACATTAAGCAGATATCAGCACCCTGACAGGCCTTGGGGCCTTATCCCTCCCCACCCTCAGACTCAAAACAAACGCCTTAAAAGACCTGGATAATTCCATCTACCTTGCTCCACACCCCCCACTGCCACCCCCAAAGCAGGAAACAATAGAATAGGAAAAGTCCAACTTTCCAAAGCAGAAAGTATGAGGAATATGTGAAGTTACATATGCGTACATATACATACACACATACATACACATGTGTGTACCATGCAAACATATACAATAAACACATTAGATAAGTAACATGTCCTATTCAATATACATGTTTGGTATGTAACATATAATAATGACACACATGTGTATGCAAATGAGGAATGGTGGCATGATATGAATCCAGGCACACAACTAAACCCCCACACACACCACCCCCCCACGTACATGCTGTCTACCCCCACAGATGGTAGAAAGCACACGCATTATCCATGCGTGGTGCACATAGTATAAACACTTGTAGATAGTTGATGTATACTTTACAAGAGCAGGGGAGCAGGGGAATGAATACAGAGGGAGATGGACAAAGGAGAATGGGGGGGTGGTAGCTGTTTCATTCAATGGAACTGGCTGACGTGGTGCACATATGCATGTATGTTGGTACGTGTGTATGGGTGTGTAGGTGTGTGCACGCACGTAGGTGTGAGAAAGGGAGAGCCGGGGAAAGATCTTGGCCTGGCCCTCTCTTTCCTCCTTCTCTTCACTGACCTCTGGCTCCCTTAGTCTGCATTCTCCAACAATCCGACCCTTTCTCCTAGGGCGGAAGAGCATGAGTGGGGGAGGCCCGAGATAGGCAAGCCTTTTGCTTCCCCAAAGGAAAATTCCCCACATTTCTCCGCCTTCGTTATCCTCTCCTCAACTTTTTGCATTTTAAAAAATTTCTGACTTACACATTCTCCTCTTTGGATCACCCACGGTTAGCCCTTGGAGGGGGGAGGGGGATGGTGGGGATGGAGAGGAGGAATACAAGAGTAGAAGAAAAACTGGCTGTACAAGGCAAAACCCCTTCAAGCTCAGCTCCAGTGCCATCTCTCTCAACCACCCTGACTTTCTATGCCAGGCAAGGACTGGAAGGACATGTGTGGGTGAGGGGAGCAGTTCCTTCAAAATGGGCTAAGACCTAAGATGCTCACGCCCCTGAATGGACCAAAAGGCTGCTTGTAGCATTGTGAGTCAGGATTCAAAGCATTACTGTCCTGAGGGATTGACTGCAGATGATCACCCACCCGTGGCATTTATGCCAACAGGTGGGCTCATTACCCCTAGCAGAGCCACAACCATGCCCTACCCCTACCCCTAGCCCCATGGCTCCTGGAAGCCCACTCTGATAATGAGCACCTCACTCCTCTCCTCACCTTCCCAACATTAACCCCACCTCTCACACACATCCTGCACCGGAAAAGCAAAGGGCTCTGCTGGTCCCTTTAACATATGCCTCTTCAAGAGCTGTTAGCCCAAGGCAGGTGGGTGGCCAGTAACTTGGCAGGTAACTGCAAGTTACAAAGAAAGCTGATCCCAATTTTCAGTTCAAGACCTACATCCTATCTAGCTTCTGCCTCCTGAAAGAAGGAAGTTTAACTTCTCCCAGCAGCCTTGATGAGAAAGTCCCAGGTCTCAATCTCAGTATTAAAGAAGGGAGAATTTAAGGAATAGAGACATTCCTCCTATGTCTGATTTGATTACAACGAAAAGCACAGAAACTCTAACGGGGATCTCAATGTACTCTGAAAGTTTGGTCTAATGGTATGCCGATGAGAAGAAATTTTAAAGGAATTGGGCTAGGGGGTGGAATAAAAGCTAAGCTCTCTTGCCCAGTGGTGGAACGATGGATGCAAGGCTTTGCCAGCTGAAGAAATCTACGTGTGTCCTTTCTGTTATGGAAGAAGCAGACCAATCCTATGCTGGATAGGACTTTGGTTTCCGAGTCAGAGGACCTAGATATGAATTGAGCACGGGGGTTTTGTTACTTGTTATGTGTATGACCTTTGAAAAGCTGCTTCATTTCTCTGGCCTCTGTTTACCAGATGGGACTTGGGAGTCATGTGATAACCTGGCTTGGATCTTGGATCCTCCAACACACTGTAAGCGTGTGACAACCATGACCTCTGTAGCCTCAGTTTCCTCCTCTGTAAAATGGCAGAGGTAGATGAGGACGGAGTGAGATGATGCACAGACAATGCTCTGTAGACCTCAACGTGCTGCATAAAATTCAACTGTTACTATATTCCCCACTTTGGGTCTCATCTTTATCTGCTTAATGAGAAGGATTAGACTATGTGCTCTCTCAGGCACCTTTCAGCTCTAAAAACTCAAAAGGAGAAGGCAGCAGGTCACAGAATCCCTGATATGGAGCCCACGATGGCTTCTGAGGCCCCCAGGATGGGTGAGGAACAAAGGTGAGAAGAGAGAAAATTACAGAGACTCCAAAACACACACCAGGCTGCAGACGAGAGAAAGCCCTGAGTCCTGAGGTTTTGGTCCACTAGGGAAAAAAAAATCTTCCTTTCTTTTGCCTTCCCTCTTTTTTTCACTCACCTACTCAATAAACTCCAGTGGCAACTTAGCACCTCCAGGATCAAAATATAATATATATTATATTATATAAGATCAAATATTATACAAATATATAAATATTAATATAACATAAATATAAGATAATATAAATATAAGATCAAACATAAAATCAAAATATAAAAACCTTTGTTTGCCATTCAAAGCACATACACAACACACATACACACACCCCTCTCCAGTCTTCTTACACTTCTCCCATGTACAGTGACTTTGGCCTCCCAGCTGGTCCTCAAATAAGACACTTCATCTCTCAACTCCAAGCATTTTCACTTGCTGTCCACAATGCATGGGATGTTCTCCCTCCTCATTTCTTCCTCCTCCCAGCTTTCCTGGCTTCCTTCAAGTCCCAGCTAAAACCTCACCTTCTACAAGAAGGCCTTTCTAATTCCCCTTAATGCTAGTGCCTTCCATTTCTGGATTATCTCCACTCCACCCCATCTATAGCATGGTTTTATATAATTGTTTGCATGTTGTTTCCCCCATTAGACTGTGAGTTCATTAAGAAAAGGGGATATTTTCTCGCCTTTTCTTTGTATCTCCAGAGTTTAGCACAGTGCCTAGCACATAGTAGATAACTTAATAAATGTTTATTGACTGACTGATGAACCTAAGAGAGCTAGAAATATCATAAAATGGGGAAACTAGTGATTCTACACCTAGGTCACCTGGAGTTTGCTGTGTTCTGGCCTGGTGTGGCTACAGCAGTCGTAATGTGATTATCCCAAATTTGAGAGCTTTGGACTAGGGTGGAGGCATGGAGGCTGAGAAATGATGAGAATGGAAAAGGGTCAGGAGCAAGGGTGGAGGGAAGTAAGCAATGGGGATGAGAAAGATGGTTGGCTTTAAAGTTGGACTTGAGACTGACCCCCGCCCAGCCTCACCAGACTCAGCCCACATCATCAGCCAATTCCCTCCACCTCCCAGAGCCAGAACACTTACACGGGCAAAGGTTGACATAAGGGTTTTGAGGCGACACAGGGAAGTCAGGGGTTGGGGGAGAGTTCTCACCACCGCTCGGAGGTGGACTGGCCGGAGCGGCCCCCTCCATTTCTTCAAACGCCTCCTTGTAGCTGTGCAGATGGGGCTACGGGAACAGAACAGAGCACACAAGAGAAGATGGAAAACATCAGTTATGGCATCCCTAGCAACAAGGAGCTAAACCCTTCAGAGAGCCAGACAAGTTAACAAGCCCACCAAAAAAGTGAAAAATCCCCAGGCTTATCTCCCATTGGGAAGCAGACGAAGATGAACTAAATCTGTCCACGCACCCAGTCTAAGATTATGAGAATTATTCATAATGTGGCAAGCAGGCAAAAGGCTTACTTGCAAGGCCATTGTCAAGCCACAGCCAGAAGTCCAAGGCATCTGTCCAGAGATAATTCAAAACAGGAAAGCTGCCCATGTGAGTGGGCTGATCTAGGTGGTGTCCCTGCCTAAGAGCAGGGAAAAGGACAAGATGACCCCAAGTCTTTTACATGACACCATTGCTCCTTTTGGCTCCAACTGAAGAACTATCTCCAGGAAGAAAGAGAGTAACTCTTTCTTCTTGGATCAGGCAAATGGAGTTGGGCAATGGAGATATAAAAAGTCTCTTTGGGAGAACCAAGAAGGTAGGAATTTGTGAGAAAGAAACGCACTTGGGACATTCAAAACAGGGCTCAGATTTGTCAGATCCCTACTTATTAGCTATACAAGGGTAACTTGATGGCAACATGTCATGCTTAACCATGATTACGAAATAGAAAATTTGCAAAGATAGGTAAGCACTTGGTCTTTGAGTTGGAATGCAAAAAATCAATCCCCATTTGCCTTTAGGAACAATGTTACCCAGCTTACTTCTAGTGAATCCCCAGCAGAGAGGTCCCATTTGTACACCCTAGTGAGAGGATTATAACTAATCAACTCTCACCTCTTTGGGCCGTCCTCCTGGATTGAGGGCAATGGTGAGGGCCAGCTCTGGGGAAACACATTGGACTGGTGACCGCACTCCAGGACTCCGAGGGGAAGTGGGCTCTGGAGAATGGTTGTCATATTGCCCATCACTGGCTGTTCGTCTCCGAAGTGGGGGAGGAGGCTCCGTTGTCTGCTTTTCTCGAGCCTGTACCCCTAGAAGTAATGGCAGGAGTTAGGGAAGACAGGCACACGTTTAGAGGGGCTAGTCTCTCCAAAAGAGATAGCACACTGTTAGAGAGCTTGCGGGTCAGACTCTACAGAGAACTCACTACATCTAAGGTAGGTGGTCTGAAAAGGACCAGGGCCTATGCTCTCTGTACCACTCCACTTCTCTCCAACCCCCCCCCCCCCCCATGGCCCTCCTTGCCAGGCTGGGCAATCTATTCTGACTGAGAACAGACCTCCACCCAGTGATCTCTGAGCAAGGACTGAGCTTTGGCCAAGAGCACGACAGGATTGATTCTTGAAACAGATGTCAACTCTTTCCAACCCCTAGAAGCAGATGGCCACTGCTTCCTTTCATAGAAGGGAGGAAAGGCAATAGGAAGGGGGAGGCAGTTACCAGGACAACAGCATCAACTAACATGCAACATCGGGCCCCAGGGAAAAACTCTTGGAAAGAGGGAAGAATGCAATATCATGTATTCTGAGTCTCTAAGGGGGCCCTAGACAAACAAGATGGGTTACTACCCCTCACGCCCACCAGGCCCCAGGATGCATTCGGGGCTCTCAAGGGGCCCCCAAATTTATCAAAGGTTACCCTAAAACTTCTAGCGAACCTCCATATGGCCCCTATCTTTCTCTCTTTCCAATCTGTCCCCGACCGTCTCGACTAACATGAAGTTTTCACAGAGCAGCCCCACCCCAAAGACACTCCCGCTTTGCGGATGGCAGGGTTAGCAATCTGGATGTGACGACATGGGAAGGGAGCCCTGAAATAATTCCCCTCTGTTTTGCATCTGCTTTTCTCCACTTCCCTTCCCAACAGGCAGGACTCCCCATGCTGCCACGCTGCACTCCTTCCCATTCCCCTGCCCTGGGACTAAGCTGTGACATGGAATTCATTGCCTCACTGAGCTGACTCAAAGAATCCTAGGAAACGTTCTTCTTGGGGGCGATCAGGGCCCGTTCAAAGGGCACCTAACCCAAAGGTCCCTCTCCCAGACCAGGATTATTCCTAAGTATCTTTAAACTGCTCCTTGTAGTCAGAAAAAGGGAAACAAAAGCATAAGGAAATAACATAACCTGCCTGAAGCCACCCAGAAAATCAAAGCCACAAAGGAAACGAAATTCCAGTGTCCCGAAGGAGCACGGGCAGAGGACATCCAGGCAGAATTACCCTCTGCATCATCAGCTATGTGATTTAGATATTCCACCAGATGCCAGATGTGAAGGCTGCCATCAGAAACAAGCTGGAAAACCTCTCTTCCCGGCTTGTCACGCGCAGCAGAGACTGCCAGGTGTCAAGTTCAGATGAAAGCACGTGCACGCATTTATTCAGTGCACACACGCACACATGGTCTCTGACACACAGAGGCTGAGTAGATACAGAGGGGAAACCAGCAGGGCCTGAGGACACGGCCTATTTCAATGCATTCTGCCATTAAATAAAGAGCATGCGAATGCATCACATGTAGATGGATGGCGGCACTCCTCTCTACAGGGTCAGAGCAAAGAGCGCAGAACAGGGAAGCAGGAGACCCACGTTACGGTCTTGGCTCATGCGACCTTGGGCAAGTCACTTAATTTTCTTTTTACTTTCTTTCTCAGTAAACATGATACTAATAGGACCTGACGCACCTACTCTCAGTGTGCTTACAAGGATCAAATGAGATCATAGATATAACAGCACATGGAATACTGCATCATTATATAAAAATTTTTCCAAAAAATAGGCGCAACTAGGTGATGTGGTGGCTAGAGCGCTGGACTCAGAACTAGGAAAACTCATCTTCCCGAGTTCAAATCTGGCCTCAGACACTTACCAGCTATGTGACTCTGGGCAGGTTACTTAAAATACTAAAAATAACCCTCTTTACTGATCCCAAACTTTTCACGAAGGCAAAAGCGATCTTTTCATCACTGACATTTTGCAGGTCTTGCTATACACATCCCTTTCTCCAAACAGCTAAAGAGGTATGAATACGTCACAGAGGTCAACGCCCAAGCACATGGTGGGCAAGCAGGCCATAACATATAACCAAGGAGTATCTGCGATGATGCATGGGAGCAGAGAACATCATGGAGAAATTGTATGATGATAAGGAGACATGAGCCGGTCGTGTGATTGAGGAGGGATGACAGGTGGATAGCTGGGGTGCTCCCCGGGTGCCCTCATGAGTCAGGAGAAAGCAAGGAAGAACCCCAGGATGTTGGATGGACCAAACCCCTCCCCCCATGGCAGACCTTTAGGAGGGCATGGACAACCTGCAGCCACGGATGAGCTGCTACCTGCATCACCAGAGAGGACTCCTGAATCAATGAGACTGAAGATCCATTTGTATATGAAAGAACCAATGTAAGATTTCTTTCTTTTCTTTTTTCTTAACTTAACCTATGACTAGCAAGGAAACCCCCTTAACCAATGCAGTGCTGTAACTATCCTGAAACACAGTCCCAGAGTTGTCTGGGTTATTGGGACCTGTCCAAGACTGTATCGTCAGTAGACATCAGAGGCAGGATCTGAACCCAGGTCTTGCTAACTCTGAGGCCAGCTCTCCATCTACTCTAACATGTTGCCTCTGCTTATTTCTTGTTGTTGGAGACTCAAAGGTCTTCCACGTAGCTTGCAGTGTTAAGTACCAACGGAGAGCAGTCCTACGCCCTCCATTATTTTCATTTCCGTGGCCCTCTCTATCCTTTCCCTGCCCTGCCCCCAGTAACTCCCCAGCGGTCTAGAGCTGCCGGTTTCATTCCTGGCAGAAGCATCAGAGGGAAACAGACGCTCCCATTGATTTTCTAATAATAATTGTGACAAAGGAGACCCAATCAGGAAAGGCTAGCAGGGTCTGGAGCTAGAGTTCAAGCCCAAGGTTAAAAGAAATGCATTAGAGCCAAGCTCCTTCCCCTGACTCTCTCTACCCTCCTGTGCCCCCTTTATGGCCTATTTCCCTCTGGTTTTCAGCTCAGCATTTAACTCCTCCGTTTGGGGGTTGGGTATTCGCCCTTGAGAATAAGACCAAACTCAGTTTCCTGCATTTGAGTCGCTATTTAAGGCAGAAGCTGCCCCCCTCCGACCTACCATGAGCATTCCCTGAGCACCTCACAAAGGGAATTCTCCCACTGGCCTCCTGCCAACAGTGACCGTGATCACTGGGGGTGGAGGAAGGGGGCTAGACAGCATGCAGACCTTCCCAGCTGCTGAAGGGGTGAGGCATTAGAAATGACGGTCAAGGGAGTCCAAGATGTAGCTTTTCCTGGAGATTGCTGAGAATGACAGAGATAGAAAGCTCCTCCTCCTCCTCATTTCCTCACTATTCTACCTCCGTCTTCTTAGGACAGGGGAAGGGGGCATGTCCGAGCTGGAGACAGAAGGGATGGCCCTGAAAGGCCAAGGGAATCTAAGACAGGGCCCCAAGACAATTTTGGGTTCTTCCTAAAAGCAAGATCAGGGAAGACCCTACATTCCACTCCCACGGGGACAAATTCCCCCCCCCCAGATCCCCACATTGCATCAACGGCCAGCCAGGCACATCTTGCATTCCTTGCACACAGTGTCTCTCTGTTGTCCCCCTTGGCAAGCCCAGCTCAGCCCCAGGGTGCCCAAAGAGCCATGTCCTCTCTCTCCTTTTTCTTTCTCCATAGGGAGGGGTGGAAGAAGGAGAGGGGGCAGGGGAAGCAAAGCAGATTGGAGAGAAGAGAGTCTCATTGTTCCTCGTCCAAGTGTGGAAAGACTGGGCCCATGCAGACCATGACGGCCAAGCGGAGAACACCACACTCTCACACGGTTCCTGAGAACAACCAATAATGCAAATAGGATTGCTTCCCCTATCCCATTGCCTTTGACCCTAAAACTCTACTTGTCTCTGTCTCTGTGTTTCCATCTCTGTCTTTCTCTGTGTCTCTTGGTCTCTATCTCTCTAACACACACACACACACACACACACACACACACACACACACAGAATAGGAAGCAGGAGTAAGGTTTTTAATGGGGTCACCATGACTCCCCCAGAGCCCAACCTTTCAGTATCCTCCCAGAACGGGGGAACAGAACCACATACCCCGTGGAACATTAATGAAGAAAGGGGAAAGATGGGCCAATAATTCAATTTAGTGAAGAGAAGGCAAATGTCCTCCTTTATGAAAAGAATGACTGGATGTTCTAAGCTAAGGAGAGAATTGGAGGAAACGGACTGAACGCACACTAGAAAATTGGTAAGAAAATTTTAAAACGTCACTTTTGTTTTTATCACCCCTTCGAGTATTCAGGTGCTCTTGTTTAAATGATCTCCCCCAGCCTCACTATAATCCTGGGCATGGTTGGGGAATAGGTAGAAAACTATCCTCCCCATTTTTCAAATGAAGACAGAGGCATAGAGAAGCCCAGTAGTTTTTCCAACTAAACAACTAGTCAACACAGGGTTCAAAATAGAACTATGGTCCCCTCCATCTCAGTCTAAAGTTCTTTCCATAACTCCATGCTTACTCACCAAAGGGTGGGTGGCAGGCAGAATTTTCTTTGGAGGACGTGGGACTTGAGAGTGAGTGCCTCAAGGAGGGAGACGTTGGAAACTCCTTATACAATCACAGAACTAGATGGAAGGGACCCTCAGAGGCCATACAGTCTAACCTCATTTTACAGATGAGGAAACTGAGGTACAGAGAGCTTAAGTGACTTACACAGGCACTAGAAACTTTCAGGTAACAAAGATGACCAGACTTCCAGACTAGTACATTTCTGCAGTTGTCCCCAACTATGACAGCAGCCAATCTCATGACAGTGCCTTGTTTGGGTGAATGGTTCCCTTAAGGTCTCTTAGACTTTACAAGTATACTAGAATCACCTGGGTACAAAGTCATTCTTTTTTTTCTTTAAGCAAACATGGAGTTAAGAGTTGGAACTGGAGAAAGGACTACAACATCTACATATATAAATACTCACATTTATCCAAAATAATTTAGATTATTTGTCCCCAATATCCTTGACAGAC